GTTACTCTACTGTTCATTATTAAACTGCCCTCCCCCGTGGCACAGCAGTATGTGCTGCAGACTTACAACACTAGAATCCGGGTTTCGATACCCTTGGTGAGCAGAGCACAGATAGCCCATTGTGTAGCTTTGTGCTTAATTACAAACAAACTCGATAACTTTCTAGTAGTAGTGTGCTAGATACCAAATTATTAACCATCTCATGAAATTATGGATTGGGTGAGTATTGGAATCGAAATTAGGATTGTTTGTGTTTGATATGCAAGAAGTGTAGAAAATCATAGAAGAAAAAGAGTTGTTGCTGAGAATAAATCAGTTTTTCGTGGCTCTTAGTAAATAATGAAAGAATGAGAGTATTATGATAGCAATATTATGATCATTGATTCTAGAAAAACAATAGAGATGTGAAAACTGGACTTTAAACTTTAGAATGTGAAATATAAGCTTTGTAAACAGTAAGTAGATTTCTTATATAGTGAATTAACCTTTGACTTAAAAATGTTGAGGTTTGTTTACAGAGTTTTATAATCTGTTTTGCATCGGGATTTTGGTGATGTATGTCAAACTTAGTTTGCTCACCAGAAAGCATATGCATGGACTTATAAGACTAATTCAGTTAGCCCATTAACCATTTTTATTACACTTAGTTTACTGCCATAATGACATTTATAAACAGTTGGTTAAATTACTACTCATCTTGCCAATGGCAAGTATAATTTTTGAAGCTGTTGAAAATTAATTTTATAAAGTGATAAGATAATGGGAATATATGAAGAATTCCATGCTGATTAGTGTGTTTCTGTTGATGTATTCCTTTTTGTTATTTCTATTGCATTGTAGCTTGTGTTGTTTTTGATAATATTAAAAAAAATCTAAAATATCTTTTCTCTACGTACTGTCTGAAATTAATCTGTTGTTATATTGACGATACTCTGGAACGTCTTGTGTTCCCTTTGCAAGGTTCTGACAGTGAGTCTCCCATATGTATGTGTGTGTGTGTGTGTGTGAGAGAGAGAGAGAGAGAGAGAATGTGTTTATACATATATATAAGTTTATTACTTAGGAAAAATTTTCTATTTTTCTTCTTTCAATAGATGAGGGAAGTGGGTCGGTAACACCAGCTGAAAATGATGTTTCAAGTGAACCAACAAAAAAGATCGATCTTGAAGTGGCTGATTTTTTAAAGGTGCATTTTACTTTGATATTTACAGTTTCATATACGTTACTTTTCACTGCTTCACTGATACTTTGTTAACTTCAGCAGTTGTACATTTTTGGATAATAAATGTCATTAAAATGAAGTAGATTTACTGTCTTGTAATGACGTAAGCATTTAATTAGTTTTTCCAAAATGTAACATTAACATTTTCACTGCTTCACTGATATTTTGTTAACTTCAGCAGTTGTACATTTTTGGATAATAAATGTCATTAAAATGAAGTAGATTTACTGTTTTGTAATGACATAAGCATTTAATTAGTTTTTCCAGAGTGTAACATGAAACGTGCAAATACTGTATTCAGAGTTTGTTTTCAGATGTAAGTTGATCTTTCATACACACTTTAATCTGTTTTGTTTTCAGAATTTTAAGTGATGTGTGTTAAAATCTAACTGTGCATAAAAACGTCAAAATTATCTTAAAGGTAATGCCACATAGTCATTTTTGTTGTTGTTGTCAGACTTTGTTTATTTATAGGCTGCTTGTGTTGTAGTGTACTAAATTATCAGGATTTCAAACAGTAAAAGTCACACAGAATCCAATCATTTTATTTTTGTGAAGTCTGAGTATGTTATAGAATACAGGTTCTTACTGTACATGATGTTTAAGATGGTTGTGCTAAAGGTTACTCAGAGGTCATATTACCTCTGAAATGTTCGGACCCCATTCGATCGTTATCTGTACTTCATCTGGCTGTAATTGTAAACAGTCCACCCTGTGAAAATTTGTGCATTGTGATTGGATGAACATGTGCAAAGAACAGCCTTTTGTCCAATAGGAAACGTCGTTAGTTGTTACCAGGGGCAGTAAAAGACATGCGCTGAACCAGGACAAGTTAAGAGACTATGAGCTGTATTAAAAAAAAAGAATCCATTCATTGTCAACTGTTTTAATATTGAAAGTTGATCTTATAGAACATTTTACCACCGTACACCACATTATTTTATCTCATGCATCAGCCATTTAACCACAAGATCAAGTTTAAACATGGCCCTTCATTTTTTATTTTGCTCACTTGGTCCAACTGTGATAAATGTTCCCATTTCTTTCAAATTGTCATGTAAACATCGATCTAGACAACTTTAATTACAACATCTCCTCAATTTGTCAGTTATTTGTTTAAATAAAAATGATTTCAGTCCTGATTTAGCTTCGTGATTTCACCAGATTAGTGGAACATGATAGGATGATTTCCGTATTCTCCAATGGTATTTGGCAGGCCATGGGTACGAGAAGGTGGGGGCCAATTTTGGCAGGCCACGGGTACGAGAAGGTGGGGACCATACCTCACAAAATAGACTCTAATTTCAATTTATACTGATACCACCTGTTACTTTCACAAATGCTGTATTAAATACAGTATGGCAATGGAGCATCAATTTGTTCAGAGGAGATGCCCATTTTCCAAAAATTTTTTCTGGAGGTTCATGTTATGCTGCCTGTGTGTTTCTGCTGCACCATTTTACTTTTTGTTTTCTGTAACCCACTCTCATCCCCAGAAGAAAAAGGATCTACTACTGAAAAGAAAAAAACGAAAATGTTTCAGCATCATTTATCATAATGCCGACTTCACAGTTTTGGGTGTCTTAAGTACTTTATAATTTTATCCAGACAGCAGAGCAGCTTTCAGGTGTTTAGTGTATACCTGCTTATCACATTTCAAAAGTTAAGTAAAAATAGTAATTCTTACTCCATTTCAACAATTGTGTATTCAGAAATATTTTAGAATATGTAACAATTACTACTGAAGCTCAGCTTTGAAAACAATTTGACTCAATAACTTAATATCATTGGATAAAAAAGATTATATACTGTGTGCATCAATGTAGATTCAAGCAGTTTGATTTGGTAATTTGTGTTTTTTTTAATTGGAGCTCAGATACAAAATACAGGTATTTAGGTACAAAATAAAGAGCTGGAAAATTTGTTATAGATTCTCTAGATGTTATTTTCATTCTTGAAAAACGTTTTTATGCTAAATTACATTATTTGAAAGCTACAGAAAGTTTGTTCTATGAAAAGACATTAAGTAACCTCAGCTAGGTTTAGTGAGTACAGTAGACGAAGGTAAAATGTTCCAATGTCATATATATTTATTTTTCATTTTATGTCATGTTTGTACATGTCTTAAATTAAAATGACATGTAAACATGACCATGTAAACTACAAGAATAAAGTTCTCATTAATTTCTTTCTTTTTTTTGAGGGGGGTGGGTGAAAGTGTAAAAAGTAAAAAATATCCAATAGAACTGTAATCTATGTAAAATTCTTATAGAGTGGTCAAGCATGTTAGAATGACATTTATATTCATCTTAATGTGAAAAATCGTGTAGACACAACAGTACACACTCCAGACAAAATGTAAATTTCAGCCATTTTGTTTCTCTGAACACCATTGACCTGAATATAGTAATCTATGTAAAATTCTTATAGAGTGGTCAAGCATGTTAGAATGACATTTATATTCATCTTAATGTGAAAAATCGTGTAGACACAACAGTACACACTCCAGACAAAATGTAAATTTCAGCCATTTTGTTTCTCTGAACACCATTGACCTGAATATATACACCTGGAAAAAAGTTAAGCACCCCCAAATATTTTTCAGGATTGCTTATTGAAAATAAGGTTTAATTTTCATGATGTTGAGCAATGTTCATAATTTCAAACATAATTAAAAGGATGTGAGCGTTCAGGTGTGACATTTAAATCAGGCGCGTCTTTTTCCCCACGTGCAACTTGCTCCCTTCTTCACGTCCAATATGCACTATTTTCTCATGCATCAAATCCGTATTTAAGTCCTGAATTTCTGAATGCAAAATCATTTTAAGTAAGAATGGCAAGAAGACAGGATATCAGAGGCGCAGAGATGGCAAATTATTGGCATGAATTCCGCTGGTATGT